TTCCGCCGGCAGCGGGAGCCGCCGGCACCGTGTCCGGCACTCACCACTTTGAAGTCCTCGGGGCTGCACTGCTCCCCGCGGAAGAAGCAGGACAGCAGCATCTCGCGGATGTCGTGGCCGGCCCGGTCGTAGAACTCCAGCATGTTGAACGGCTTGGGCTTGAAGTTGCGGAAATTGGCTTTGTCCTGCAGGATCTCCAGCTGCCGCTCGTCGGCCGTCTGCGTGTCCGGGATCTCGTACCTGCGGAGAAGGGCSAATCCCGGCAGGCCGGAGCGTTTCGGCAGCGCCGGGAGCGCTGTGCCGGCTCCAGCCCTCCCTGGCACTCGCAAATCCCTCCCTGCCATGGGCACGTCCAGATCCATGTGCTGGGACAGGGCTGAGGGAAGCCCTCGGGAAAGGCTCCGTCGGGAAGCCTCCCTCCCTCCCTCGGGGTCCCAGGGACCCACCAGCCCCTCGAGGCCCCTGTCCCATGGGCTGGGTGCGCATCCGAGCAGCAGGACCCACGTGCAGGGTGCGTGGGTGCTCTGAGCACCCGCAAGGCTGCACGGGGACCCTGGGACAGGGCCGCGCTGTGCCCAGAACCAGGAGCGGGGAATGTTGCATGGGACCAGGGACATCGCAGGTGGCTGGGGACATCGCAAGGGCCAGGGATATTGCCCGTGTCAGGGATGTTGCATGGGATTGGGGACACTGAGCCGGGGACGTTGCATGGGGACAAGGACATCATGTGTGGCCAGGGACACAGCAGAGCGGGGACGTTGGGATCATCCAAAGTTGTTGCACGGGGCTGGAGATGGTGGAGAGACTGGAGGTGCCACAAGGGCTGGAGATGGTGGAGGGGCTGGAGATGCCACAAAGGGCTGGAGGTGCCACAGGAGCTGCAGGTGCCACAAGAGCTGGAAGAGCCACAAAGGGCTGGAGATGCCATAAAGGCTGGAGGTGTTGCAAGGGTTGGAGATGCCACAAAGGGCTGCAGGTGCCACAAGGGCTGGAGATGGTGGAGGTGCCACAAGGGGCTGGAGATGCCACAAGGGCTGGAGATGGTGGAGGTGCCACAAGGGCTGGAGGTGCCACAAGGGCTGGAGATGGTGGAGGTGCCACAAGGGCTGGAG